CAGAAAAAGATGGCCGGCGGATCGATATGCCGGATCCAAGCATGGGTCATTTTGCCGAAATTGGGAACAAGCTTGGCCTTTTCTCCAAGCTTGGCTGACCACTTCTCGGGCCGCAGGTGTAAGCCGGAAAAAAAAGAAGCTCAAAATCCACAAATCGGTGATCCAGTCTCAACTCCTTGCACCAGAGGCACCCTGTGTTCTTTTTTTGTTTGCGCCGTAAATTGACATGGCCCAGTACGCGTGTAGGGCAGCTGGTTTCTTGGATCTTGATCCTGACCCTGAGGGTGTCGTTTCTAACCCGTTCTTCTACACATGGGTATGGCTCAAAAAACCGGAATTCCCAAAATGGCTTGCCCTGGTAAGCGGAAACATGGGTACATTCCACCTGTGTAACCCCAGCTCTTTCATTTTGAGCCAATGCATTGATTCCTTCCGAACCCGGGGGTTCCCGCTCCAAGAGGCCCAGGTGGATGCGCACAGCATCCGCGGCCAGCAGCTCCGCCTGGAGCGACCCTTCGGGACATGGGCTGACGGAGTCTGGCCGCCGGAAAATTTGCCGGGGGCTTCATACCCTCCCTCCCAACGTGGCTGGGAGGTATCCGGAAGATGAATCTCCTCTTGAAGGTACCCCCAAGTGCCATGATAGTGGGAGGGAGGGTAAACAAATACGGCAAAACGTAGCAAAAGTCTGGAGAGGCCCCCTTTGTTTTGGCGTACCCTTGTTGGGGGCCGAATTTGTAGTTGGAGCCCAAAAGGAAACCGAAGCCCATGTGCTCCACTTGTCTCCTTCACTGCTTCACGGATCTACTTCATAGAGTTCCAAGGCCCCCATTGAACAGCCTGGAAAGCCAAGTTCACGCCGCTCCCTGATACCCGGACAAACGTGCCCGGGCACAAGGCAACCCTCGTCGAAACGCTGAGAGCTGTCGCGCCAACCGAAAAGCGAAACGCACGGCTTGAATGCCGATACCCCCGAATGTTGAGAAACTGTTATCACCATATGGCCATGGGTCAAAATCCCGCACCCCCAGTGAACATCCCAATCCCAACTACAATAGACTAAAATGGGCGGTGCACCCGCCCAAAATGGGATCCCATCGGGGTTTTGACAACCACAGCCATATCTTTGGTTCCTTCTGGTTTTGCAGAACCATTCAGGGGTACCGTGGAGCCCTTTGTAAGGGGTTCCTTCCGTTGATTCAGGGTGGCCGTGGTGTGCAGTTCTGCCTACTTGATCACCAGCTACTTGTTACAGGGGAGGGAGCACCCTCCCTCCCACTAGCGCCTATGGGTACCTGGGAAAAAACAACAATTCCTCAAGGGGCCATTTACCCTGCAGGTGCTACTGGCTTCCAATCCACAGGTCTTTGCCTAAAGGTCCACTGCGCAATTCCTCTCAGTGAGTACCTTTTCTGCCCAAAATGGGATCCCATTGGTTTTGACAACCACAGCCAAGCCCAGGGAGGCCAAGGATGAGGTAAGCTCTGAAGGGTTTGCTAGCGCACAGCCCCAGAAAGCCCCCTTTTCCCTAGGTCCATGAAGTCAACATCCGGTGTCACATCGGCGCATTTAGGGTTGCACATTAGATTCGGTGGCTTGGTTCCGTCAAGTCCACGAGAACTCTGCCGGGCCCACCGTTTTCCGCAGGGTTGGCCAACGAAATGCTTAAACATGCTTAGTCACCCCCCATGGTTTAAACAATAAACAAACGTAATCAATGAACAAACAAAACCAATTGTCAAATGGGGGGTGATGACCCTGGCCCAGTTCAGCTACCCAGCCTGCAGCTGTGGGTGGCTCGCGACTCCATCCAGCCTGCGAAGTTCCCCCGCCGATTCTCAAGGACTCAGGGCCAAGAAGCCTCCGGAACTGCGAATTGCGAAGACGTCTTCGGGGAAGGGGTCAGTTTTCAATCAGACTTCCGCCCCTCCGAGCGCCAAACCTCACTAAGTAGCGTAAACCAGGCACAAACCTCGATGCATGAGTTCTTTTGGGCCCGCCGACCAGCGCAAGAAAACCCGCGCTGAATGGATAGCGCTGGGCCGAGCCATAGGCTCCACAAGGAGCAATGGCCGCCCTGGAGCCCCGCGCCCATTCTTTGGAAGCCACCGTAGGTCTGGAAAAAAATCTCGAAAACGGGGGGGGGTCGAAACCAAGCCATACTCCTTTGCCGGGGTGCCGCACCACGTCTCCAGGCCTAAACAGACGATGCAAAGGCCAAATATCTCCATGGATCCCCTTGACCCAGATCGCACTCGTCCTACGCCACCATTGGGTGGTCCTGGAACCCCAAGAAAGGACACCCCGACAAAAAGAAAACCGGGCTTGAGCTCACCGAAACCGACAAGTTGCAACCATCCAACCCGAAAGCTTCCCAAACTTCTTTTCTGGGGTGTTTGAAGGGACACAAAGCCGCCAGAAATGGACCCCAAACCACACCGCACGTCAGGCCTCAGGAGCTCCGCTCGGCTGGACACCAGACCGCTGAGCAGCAGCGCCAGGTCCATCAGCTCCTACGGCGCGTCTTCTTTTCTTTCCCTCCGTCGGAAAGCTGCGTCGAAGCCAATGGGTTCTGAGGCTCTCGGTCTTGAAAACATGTGGCTTGGCTTGTCGATTTTTGTTGAGGAACTCGGACCGCGGAGAAAAAAAAGGGGGGGGAACTGTTCGGCTTTACTTGCGGTTTTCCGGTGTGCTTTTTTGTTTTGCAAAACGAGCTCCAACTTGGCAAAAAGACACCCTTTTCTTTTTGAGTGTCTTGGATCCGTGCGTCGAGAAATGAAATTCCTCTCGGTTTGACAAGGTGGCCCCAAAGCCATGTGGCTGCTTTGGGGGACGGTTCAGTCGGGAGGTTCCCACTTGGCTCCCCGGAGCATTGCGTTTTGCTCACCTTTGATGTAAAGAACCCTTGGTGAGAGTCTCCTTCAGCTCAACCTTTGGGGGCTTGCAAGCTTGGGCAGAACCTCAAACCAGCAAGGGGTTCGGTTTAAAGCCAGGAATCCATCGGAGGGGCTTGTCTGAATACTCCATGGGCTTTGGTGCCCAAGAGCGTTCACAATCTCTTTCTTGGCGAATAAAAAAGCCGAACAAGACCACCACGCTCAAGTGGCTGAGCCTATAAAAAGACGACAGACCCAGAACAGCTGCGAAAATAATCTCCCGCGACCAAAGCTTGGTGGACAATCGGCTCCATGCGGGGGAAGAGTTGCCAACATGGACCATCTACATGATTGCCAGGGGAGAAAGGCTCGATTTTGACATGCAATCTATGAAAATGTCAAATGCCCCAGCCTCTGCCTCCACAGACCCAAGTAGTAAACATAGTGAGAGTGAGTCAACTAGGACAATGCCTGTCCAAACAACATGAAATGGCTGTGGGTCAAAAATTGGTACCCAACATGGAACCTTGGTAAATGGAAACATGGACTAACACCTGCGGTCCCCTAGTGATTTAATTTTGACCGACACCCAAATCGAGTTCCAACCAAAGTCACCCAACACGCGTCGGAGAGGCGGATGCCTTTTTGCGCCAGGCGGATTCAATTGCGGTCAAAGGCCCACTGGGCCTTCTCGTCCGGCCCAAGCCGATACCAAATGCCACTGCCCAAGAAAGTGTCCACAAGGGGAGCTCCAGCAACTGCATTGACATCAAGTGCCTGTAAACAGAATAGGCAAACAACACCACAGACATCAATCAACATTTGTTCCATGTTTGCCACTTGCCCGAGTCTTTGTAGCTGCCCCGATTCGCGGACAAAACATCATGTTAGGTCAAACTGGACAATATTGGGGTGCAAAGTCAGTCATTCCATGTTGGGCAAAATCACAAGCTGGCAAGCCAGAAAATGCCAGACTGCAGGGCAAGTGATCAAGTGACACACTAGCACGAGAAAAGACATGCCGGCGTTCTTGTGGTAAGACCGCCTATGCTCTCCCAGATCTTTGCATTGTTGTTTGGAGACTGTTTCCTACGAGTCCTGCAATACATTTTGCCCAAAAACTGACTCCGCGGCGAGCGGATGTATGGAAAAGGCTCCGCTCAAATGCTGAATCCTGAATGAATTTCATAGTAGATACATGACACGTTTCGCCCATTGCCCTTCAGTCTTTGTACTCAGTTTTTGTAACAGCGCGATAACCCCAACGCAGACAGCAGAGGAGCCACAGTCAAGACATGGTGCAACCCGTAGCGGACATGCAGAAACTAGTCTCTTTCTGGGTTTGCGGAGAAGATCCACATTCACCAGAGACATGATTTGCTCGGGGCTGGAGCTGCTCTGCATCGAGCGCCAGTTGTTCACATATGCCAGCGGACAACCTTCTGTCGTAAGCTGGTGGAGACTGTTTCCTACGAGTCCTGCAATACATTTTGCCTTGGAAAGGGTGCTCGATTCCAAATTCTGCCCAGAGCAAATCATCTGACCTTGCCAGCTCTGCCCACCTGGGGCTCGGCCTCAAAAACTGACTCTGCGGCGAGCGGGACTCCGCTCAAATGCCGAATAGTGGATACATGCCACGTTTCGCCCATTGCCCTTCAGTCTTTGTACTCAGTTTTTGTAACAGCGCGATAACCCCAACGCAGACAGCGGAGGAGCCACAGTCAAGACATGGTGCAACCCGTAGCGGACATGCAGAAACTAGTCTCTTTCTGGGTTTGCGGAAAAGATCCACATTCACCAGAGACATGATTTGCTCGGGGCTGGAGCTGCTCTGCATCGAGCGCCAGTTGTTCACATATGCCAGCGGACAACCTTCTGTCGTAAGCTGGTGGAGACTGTTTCCTACGAGTCCTGCAATACATTTTGCCTTGGGAAGGGTGTGGTCTTTGCTGATTGCTCGATTCCAAATTCTGCCCAGAGCAAATCATCTGACCTTGCCAGCTCTGCCCACCTGGGCCTCAAAAATTGACCCTGCGGCGAGCGGAACTCCGCTCAAAGGCCGAAGAGTGGATACATGCCACGTTTCGCCCATTGCCCTTCAGTCTTTGTACTCAGTTTTTGTAACAGCGCGATAACCCCAACGCAGACAGCAGAGGAGCTACTGTCAAGACATGGCGCAACCCGTAGCGGACATGCAGAAACTAGTCTCAAACGAATTCGCCGCCTGAACCCAGTTGTGCAATCCGTGCAAGCATGAGCACATCAGGTGAAAGCAAGAGCAAGTCGGCCAAGGCTGAGGGGGGAAGCCTGCCTGATTCAGAAGGGCCCAAGCCTGTACCAGTCAACCAGACTGAAGAGCCTGAAAAGCAGGCAAGAGCCAGACTGAGGACCCAAGCCCGCTTGACCACGTGAAGTCTGAGTTCCAAGTGACAAACTCCAGTGTCTGCTATGGTAACCGCGAACGAGGAACACTTAAGGGATTCGACCCGCCCCCGCCCGCGGACTTTTGCCTTGAGCCAAAACATAAGTATGCAAACAGTCCAGGCTAGGAAGGACACCTATGGCATTGCGATGTCAGCACACTGCTGATACCATGCAAAATCTGGTGGCAACTGTCAATGCGTCCAAAGCAGTCACAACCACTAATGTTTAATGTTGTTGTAGGCTGACACACCATGGTGTGTGTCCCTTGCCTTGTCTGCGGTTAAGGTCACAAGTGTTAGCAGCTAGCATGGCGGATGTCCGGTGGGTGCGGCACAAGCGGGCGAACACACGAAGTTATCCTCGCAAGTGCCATTTTGCACATGGTGTGGGTCGCGCCTGACGGCAGCGGTTGACGTTTGGTTCAAGTTTATCAAGATGCTGAGTCCTACCAAGTCCTGTGCTTTTGCGCACGGATTCAAGATGGCCTACAAGCTTGTCTTACTGTGGCTTTTGATCTTGCTGCAGCTTGAAACCGGCCATGGAACGCTTCACGGTCTCAGGCACGGATGTGGTCATGCCGAGTAACCTGATAGCATTTTGCCAGCCATGCTGCTCAACTGCTTTTGTGAACACGTCTGCGATCTGCTCAGCAGATTTCACGTGTTTCAGGGTACGGCCTGCAGAAACTACCACGTCTCAAAGAACCTAAGTTAACTTTATGAGTACGGGTTATATGGCTCAACTTTTGGCTGAATCATGAACGCACGATTTTCTCGGTCGCCTCATTGTCTGAAGGACCATGTTCCACAACACTTCCATGGGGGGTGCCTCTGAGAACACACCAAGGCCATGGCAATGACCTCTGCCTAGAGAAACTGCTGTTTGTTCTTGGATGCCCAGCTAAAGGGCCACACAGAGTTTGGACCACGTAACTGCAGCCACGCGCCGCTGGTTGAATGGGCGCAATCAGGGCTGCCTGCGAACTGTGTATATCTCCAGCCACAAGTCTTCCGGCGAGTCATTTATGTAACCTACCAGAGTGTAGTCTGTGGACTGCCATGAGCCTGTGCAACATGCGATCACACGCTTTACTCCACTTGTTGACAAGTGTGGCAAGATGAGCGATTGCCCTTAGCACGTCTGAGCGGCCTAGTCGGGCTCCCCACAGGAGTTTCATGAGAACTGCACACGCATGATCCTCGAGCTGGCCTCTCTCCTCCCACTCTTCTGGAATGGTTGAACCCTTCGGAAGGAATGGAGTTGGAGCTCCTTTGATGGTCTCTGCACCACTGAGTTTCAAGTACATTTCAACAGCAGATTTCATGTATTCCCTTTACGTTTAAGGCAATGCCTACCGTCTACTCTGACAAGTTCGTGGTGTCTACCAAGGATCACCGATATCCTCGATTTCAATAATTTTCCCAATTCCTCCCAGAAGGGCGTATGTGAAGCGGCGTCTCCTGAGAGCAGCAAGTCATCAACGTGTACAGTCAACAAGAGGTTTCGCTCCTTGAAGAAGTATGTTGAAGGATGCCCATCCACAGGCTGACCCCCTAGCTTCACCTACTTACCTTTCCAAGATTCAGGCCATAAGTCCCATACGCTTTCACAACCTCGGCGCTAGTCGTATTGTTGCCGGGTATCACAGCATTAGCGGCAGTGATAGTAGCCGGAGACGCTGACAGACTTTGGTAGATGGCGAGAGCGCCATTCTGGTCTCTGGCATTATCCCCTCTGTATACTATCCTACCTTTTAGCTGACGATACTCTTTCGGCAGCTCATCGTATTTACGACTGCATATGGGCATTATGTCGGCGATATGCACGGTTTTGCCGGCTAACTTGGCATTGCGCACGACGTTGGCATATCGACCGTGTCGAGACCCCACGTGTTTTTGCCGGTTAAGCCGTCAAACTCCTCTCTGACTTTTGCTACGGCGTTAGGATCTTTTATCCATTCCTTTCTATCTAGCAATTTTGTTACAAGTGCATACAAGTCCAACTCAAGCGAGTCCCTATCACAAGACGGATCCTGCGCTGCAATTGCAGCAGGCTTGCTGGAAGATGCCTCTGCCGAAGGCGGAATGTACCTGGATCCCCTGGCCCTTCAGGATCACCTTCCTTAATCCGAGGCCTTGGCGTGGATGGTGCTGGAACGAATCCTGGCGTTGGTGGCACAGGTACAGGAGTGTCTGGCACAGGTGCGTCTGACGACGCCACCGGTTTGGTCTCCGCCGGTGAGCTCTACAACTTGTCAAAGCGATCCCTGCTCCTGTGAGTGGCGTGTGGTGCCGTTGTCACAACCTGAGCAACCCTTTTGTAAATCCATGCTCTAGAAGCCTACCGAAAGTAATGTATGTGTGTCTGGCTTTTCCCCCGTCCTTTCCTGACGATGGTGCCGCATCAATGGCAACTTCATACGGAAGTACCCCCCTTTCAAGTGATCTGTCAAACTCTGCTTTCCTAAGCTCATGCATTTGATCAGTAACATCCAGAAGGGACTTTTGCGCAGCACGTTGTAATGGGTATTCAAAATGTTCAACAGGTGGAAAGTGTGTCTAAGGCCTGGCTCAATCTTCCATCCTGCAAAGATGGCAGAGCGTGTGGTGGCGCTGCCATGCCGTCACTGCTCTTAGCATGATAAAAGGCAAGTGCCCCTAAGGGTTAGAGGGTTCCATTGAAGGGTTTTCCGGTGGCAACCTCCCACTTACTCTTGCCCTTTTTAGCTTCCTCCGCAGGCCCACCTACCTCATGGGGAGAGATGGGAGCATTTTCACAAAACGACCGAACTTTTGCCATGTGTGCCAGGGATACTGGCCACAGCTTTCTCCAGAACCCGGCCTGCAAGTGAGATGGCCTACAAGCCTCCTTCAGGGAGCGGATGTCCCTCTCACACGATGCATTGCGCGGCCACGCCCTTGACAACGATGGATCAACAGTCCAACACAAGCGGTGTGCGGCATGTGTGAATTCACCTGCGGTGTCTGACTTGAACACCGTATCTGTGGCCCCGTTCAAAGCAGCTCCTGCGAAGTGTTTCATTGACATGTAATTGGATTCTTCTGCGCGGTCCAATTGTGGATATGCTATGGATACACCTGAGTACCGGTCCCTTACTAGAAGCGCATGTTGTTCGCCTCCCATACCTGCATGTTCCGCAGAAACAATGATGTTATCTGCTTGTATGAGTCTGCCAAAGGATTCTGGACGCTTGTACTCTGTTGGTTCATCATCGTCTGGGCGATGCAAGTGCTTGTACTTATTTAGCATCCTACCTCTCAAGCAGTGCTCACATTTGTTATTTTCTTAGCGTGTAACGGAGGCGGCGGCCAATGCTGGTGTAAGCACTTCACGTTCGCGGTGCGATTGTGGCATCACCTCAACAACCGGCATTGCTGGCACATAGCCCGACACCTTTTCAGGGTACCACGCCGAGCACATCAGGCATCGGAAATGGATACCTTGCAGTCTTATGTGTAGCCTGGCCCTCAATGGTCTGCAATGCTTGGATTTCAAGGCCTTGGCGAGGCGAGGGCATGCGGTGACCACCCTCCATCGCTTCAAGTGAGGCAGGCCTTTTGCGTCCACGCAACCGACTGCACAACCATCAAAATCGCAACTGAACATGTTCAGGTCTCGAACAAGGCGTTGCAGCACGCGCAATTGCCATCCCGTCGTGGCATTCCTAGGCCACTCAAAGGCGATGCTACCCCCCTGTTCGTGCACTTTCCTAGCTAGTTTCCCTACCAGCTGGCGTCTGGTGTATGCCTGACCGTACCTATGGACACATAGATGTTGGTATTGAGACCATGGACTGCGTGGCAGACTTCCCCACAAGTCAAGACTTTCCCATGAAGATAACATTCCCTCTAAGGTTTCCAAGCTTGATGCATCAAGGCCATTCAAGTGCTTTTCCGTGCAACGGATCACCGGAATGTTGTTGTGTTACCCAAGGATGAATCTTCGAAAGTGCAGAACTCGACAAGTTTTCCTTCCTTCATCGGAATTACAGCAACAGATTCAGGGTTATTTTCCTGCTGAAGTAATTCCTGGAGTTTACCATTTTGTCAATTTTCTTCATCTGTTCTTCTGTCGCCGTTTCGGCAACAGATCGACACTCCTTGCTGGCGGCTTTCGCACGTTCGGCCACTGCTTCAACCCCCCTTGGAACAGGTTTGTCCTGATGCGACTCCCCACAAGGCACGTACGGTGTGTGTAATACCTTGAAGATTGTTTGTCCGGTCCACTTGGAATGGAGTGGCACACTATTGAGCTTAGGACTCTTGTAGTCCTGGTGAGCGATCGTTTGCGTCCCCCCATTCGAGAAATTCGCAATGGTGATCCTCTTGTCCGAGATGCATGCTGGGTTAACCGGACACCCTTTCACCCCGTTCGGAGTAAACAAGCCCCTAGCCTTGTTGTGAATCCGGATCCATGTCATCTGACCCTCATCGAACAACCACGCGTCTGGCAAACTTTGTTGCTTTGGCCGCTCATGCCTGCTACTGTCTTGCTCTGCAGAACCGTCCAGTTCATGAGTGCGACCAAAATGGTCATTGCAAGGCAAACGCTGCACGTCAGCCCTGTTGTCCGGCTGCAATGTAAACAAGTCCCCTCCTGATGCACCTGCTGTGGCGTTCTGAGACAAGTTGTCACTGCTTGTAGATGCACATGGCAGGGTGCCGTTCGTGTCCACTGCGGCAGCTGCATCCTTCTGTGAACCTACGAACGCGCCTAGCAGGGTGCCGTCCGGCCCCGCTGCAACGGCTGCGTCGTCTTGCGAATCAACAGGGGGATGGTAATTCTGAGAAATGCAGGGATTGGCAAACGCACCCAACTGGCCTGTTCGCAAAAGGCCTCCCACATGCGGAACCATCAAGAGAACCGCGGCGTTGAGCGGCTGCTGCTGCTGTAGCTTGAGCTGTGGCAGTTGCCCCGCCCTTCTGGCCACCCTTCTTTCCCTTTTCCTTACCCTTGCCGTCTCCCTTATTCCCTTTGCTTTTCTGAGACTCACTAAATGCTTGTCTTGCCTTTTGAGAACCAGGCTCACCCACATGCAAGAGTTTGCAAGTTTCACCAAATCTGCAAAATCCAGCAGCATGATAAGAACGGATCCATTTTTCGCTTTTCTTGTCTTTCTTCGACTTCTTGTTCCGATCTGCTTTGTCCGTGGAATGCGCACTGCTTGGCTTGTTCTCAGGGATGCCCTTCTTTGTCTTGGCGGAACTAGCACGTGGGTTATCGTCTTGGCCTGCAGCTAAACCATAAGGCGGAGCCTGTGGGCCCGTCTTCAACCCTTTCGTCAAGTTCTCGTAGTTCAGGTCTTCACAAAGTTCCTTCATCTCATCACGAACGGCGTCCCAGAGCCATTGAAATGAACGTCTATGTGAACTACTTGAGGAATCCCGAACCTTGTTTGTGATCCTTGACAAACATGGCACCCGCCAGAACCAATGGCACATTGTAGCTTCGCTCGGGCGATCGTCTATCTTGAGTCCGTTCCTAATACACCGTGCCTTGCTGATGAATGCCTGAACATTATTCAAAGAACTCCCTTCAAGCTTCAACTCTAACAAGTGCGTCTGGCCGAGCGCAACTCCGCTGGCGCCTACCGAGAAATGCTGGTACAACAAATTCAACAGAGGTGCGCCCTTTTCCCCCTGCCCACGAAGCGCACATGCTTCGACATAGGAACTGAACTCAGCAGCCAACTCGGTGTTTGTTGCCAGGGCATCAGTTTGAATGAGCTCTGCTGCAACATGCTTGTTGAACCGAGTGAACACGACCGAGTTATGCAATGCTTCACGGAACCTTTTCCCCCGACCCCCTTCGAAACAGTGCGACACGTATTTGGCGAGCACGTCACCATCGGTAGTGTCGATGCGAGACACGGAGGCAATAAAAGCACTACGCCATTCCCGGCAAGTGGTGGGGTCAACAGGCAACTTTGTAACTTTGACAAGCTTCAAGTTCTTTTCCTTGTAAACCCCATCTTCATTACCGGAGTACGTGTCCCAGGCCCCATGCACTGCTCCCTGAATGGAGACAGAAGCGGAACTACTGGGTGGCTTCTTACCTTGGCTCCCACGCCTATCACTGTCACTGCTTGAGTTGGAATCGGGTTCGGAATTAGAGTCATGCACACTTTCGTCTATGTCATATTCGGCAAACCTTCCATCAACTGGATCCGCACCTGAGGATTTTGGGACACGGCAGCGGGGTCGCGCCTTGCGGCTGCGAAGCGCCTTCCGGCCGCGCGAGGATCACATCCTGAGGTCGATGACTGACCGGTATGTGCACTTGAGTCCGCGTCATTATGGCTTCCGGCAAGGAGGTCACACTTAGGGCTTACACGACCCTTTTGCACCAACTCATTGAGACTTTTTATGAAAACCTCTGCTTGTGCAAGCCTTTCTGACAACTCCCTGATAGCATGATCTCTTTGCTCAATTTCACGTCTTGCAACGTTTAGGGTTTGCTCCCGATCACGAAGGGCCTGATCTGCACTGCTTAGAATCTGATCCCTAACACCTATTTCAATGGGCAGCATTAGTCTGTGCTTGATGAATGGAGGCATGATTGGGATCATCCTGCATGAGGCCACTAGAATCTGAACTGGAAGGCTGACTTGGAGATGCACCTATGGGTGTTGCCGACATCCCTGTACGAATGCCCCTCCGGCTGTCACGAGACCGATCGGACATCTTTTCACCTTCCGAGCAGTTTACAGTGCCCCTATCAATCACTGCCGTACTTCAGCCAAAGCTCTGCGCGTTCAGCTGCTGACTGCACTTGCTCGCGCCGCAATCTCTCAAGAATGATGCCCAGAAAAGTTGCTGTATCCGACGGGCTTCTTGTCCTGTATGCCCAAACCGGATTCGACTCTCCCAAGTATCGCTTCCAACGCTCAGTGAACTCGCTGAGATCGACCAAGACCAGAGATCCTGCAGACAATGCGACGGCCTTTGTGTCCACTTTAGAGAACCTAGATGAGTTCATCCAAGAACTCAAGGAAATCTATCTCGAAACAGATTTGAACAAAAAGGACGCAGAGGAAGAGCTCGCGGGGACCAGGGAAAACCTCACCCGCTTCATGAGAAGAGCTCATCCCAACTTGACAGAGTGCGAGAGAGCCTCATTGGCACATGTCGAACGAAAGAAATGGGCACGTCCCACAAAGCCGATGATGCGTGCGCCTGCCCGACTCCAACAACTGCCTGACCTTTCTAGTGACAAATTCCGGAATGATGCCGTTAAACTCAAGAGTGTGATGCCAGTCAAGAGTAACGAGCGGCCCCTGCTCCGGTGTGATGTCCAAAAAACCCGAAGGCCCGTTGAATGGTCTCGCCAATTGCTTTACCGTGTATCGCTTTGCGCTGCGCTGTCTCAGTACTTCAAGTCTCCGCTCAAAGAACCAATTGTAGTGCGGCCTCTCGTCGAGAAACAACGTCTGCGCCGGCTTCCAACTGCCTCGCAAGTAGTCCTGCGCACAGCACTCAAGAAGTTTTGCTTCTTCCAAAGTTGGCGTCTGTCGGTCCACCGCGATCTGCAAAGTTGGCCGTGAAGGAAACGAAGGCTCTGCTGGCTCTGTCGGCTCTGCTGGCTCTGTTGGCTCTGCTAGCTCTTCGTCGCTCACAACGCAGACTTCCTCGATTTCTTCGATTGATCCCTCCTCCTCTGTAACCTGCTCCTCCTCCTCCGGAACCTCAACTTCTACCTCCTCCTCTTCCTCCCACACTGCCGAAGCTTGAAAACTCCTCCTAGATTCTGTAGATCTCCAGGGAGCCGTTCTGATAGCCTCGGTGATGTCAAGAGAATCGAAGTCGGATGGTGGCCCTCGATGGGATGTTGTTGCAGATGAGGATGGTTGTTCAATCCGGCGTCTGCCCTTCTGCTGTGATGGGCGATCAGGGTTCCCGGCCCTCTTGCCTCTCGTCCTAGGTAACCCGTCTGCTCGGAAACGCTTGTCGCGTTGCTGCTCCGATTGCATATAAATCGGGGATTCCCAAAAGCTCGTCGACTGTACCCAATATCCTCAAGTGCGGCTCGTAGCTGTTCACTCAAAATCAAGTAGTCGTCCCAAGCTGTCAAGAATACGACTGTGTCTTCCCTCAAAGCCCGTCAACTGTACCCAATAAGATCAAGTGCTGCTCGTATAGCTGCTCACTCAAAATCAAGTAGTCGTTCCAAGCTGCAATGAATAGGATTGTGCGATACGGCTGATAAACAAGAGAATTCGCCGCCTGAACCCAGTTGTGCAATCCGTGCAAGCAACTGTCAAGTGACAAACTCCAGTGTGTGCTATGGCAACCGCGAACGAGGAACACTTCAGGGATGCGACCCGCCCCCGCCCACGGACTTTTGCCTTGAGCCAAAACATAAGTATGCAAACAGTCCAGGCTAGAAAGGACACCTATGCCATTGCGATTCCATGTAGGGGCACCTGATCACACTGTAGAGTATGGCCAATCATCTGACCTTGCCAGCTCTGCCCAGAGACCTGGGGCTCGGCCTCAAGAAGTGACTCCGCGGCGAGCGGATGTATGCAAAAGGCTCTAGATTCAGGCGGATATCTGGGCATGCGCCGATCTGGATTGCACATCTGAAAGTCCGAGGCGAAATTGAATCCAAGAGTCATTCACAAAGCAGCATTCCTTGCCGCTGCGGCCGTCACAAGAGATGTTCAGATGTTCTGCTTGGCTACATGCCATGTCACTGAGCCGTGGCCGTGGCTCAATGTTTACGATGGATCAAGCCCAGCTTTAGCTCTGCATGGCTGCCGGCGCCGCATGGGGGCCCACATCAGTCACGGGTGGCATCTCTAAACATCAACAGCGTAAACTTCACCATGATTTGAAACCCAACGGAGTCGGCACGTCGGCGTGTCGGATCCCTGCACACTTCCCCGTCACCGCACTGGAGAACAGTAGGCCAGGGCCAACTCTTTCCGCAGGGAGCTCATAGCCTCCTCGAGAGCCAACAGGCGACAAACTGCATAGCAAACAGAAAACCTCTGGCCATGTTGTGCAGGGGAAAATGTAGCTGCATCGCGTTTGGCGGTTGGCTAGATCCTTTGTATGAAAAATACGCACTTCGCCTAGTAGCGGCCCAAGCAAATTCGCATTCACAAGGTTATACCACTGCCTTCTCTGCCGTTTGGTGTATTCACATCCCTTTGCAGTTTGGCGTTTGGCACGGCTGAGTGAGCAGAAACTGTCACATTTCTCTTCAGGCTCCAACTATGACCATCAAGGCGTCGACCGCTCACACGAACCAGGGGGTCTTTTTGCCACCTTGTCGAAAATTGTTCGACCCCCTCGTAGTGAAGGATTCCTTTTATAGGGGATCGCCAATCTTCTCACAAAAGGTGGCAAAAAAATAAAAGCTGACACGAACTGGATGTTGCTGTTTCTTCTGGCCCTTCGTTCCTTGTTGCAACGCATGCGGAACGCGGGCTCCTGCAAGACTTGCGGCAGTGGCCCTTTCCAGCGCCTTGAGGTCATCAACCCAATGAGGCCAGAGACGCTCATGCGCAATAGTGTCTTCTCCAGCCTGCGAAAACCCGGGCGAATTGGTGAACTCATGGAACCATTTCATCCGCGAGTGCCACTGTGCCACTTGTGCCACTTGTGCCACTTGTGCCACTTGTGCCACTTGTGCCACTTGTGCCACTTGTGCCACTTGTGCCACTTGTGCCACTTGTGCCACTTGTGCCACTTGTGCCACTTGTGCCACTTGTGCCACTTGTGCCACTTGTGCCACTTGTGCCCCTTGTATGTTTCTATCCAAGTCTTGGCCAGCCTCCTTGACCTCCCCCCAAGCTTGCCTTTCCCCGCCTCTTCAAGTCCTCAACCGATGATGCCCTGCAAGGGCGTCGCAGTGCAAGCTCGCGCTCAACCACTTCGACCAGAGACTTGGTCTGGTGAAACTCGGTCCTACCAGGGATGTCGCTTCGTCGCTGGCTCCCCTTCTCGTATCCCTGCGCTTCTGTGGGTCGCGGTGTTTGGGTCCAAATCCCATTTCAGCCGATTTTCTTTTGTCCAAATCCCCATTTTCAGCCGAGGCGCCCATCAGTCAGCCTGCGGAGATGAGGCAGGATCGCGGCCAGCAACTGGGCCTCGCACATGGCCTGCACCACCTGGCGATTCATCTTGTCGAGGTTCTCTTTGCGGAAGTGCGGCAGGTGGCAGTAGCCACAGGCGCTGCCCAGGCGACAGGCGCCCCTGGCCAAGTGGACGCAAGGGCGCCGACACACCTCGGTTTTTGACAGAAGTGGACCCCGAGCAGAGGACGGACCAGTCCGTCAAAAGACGAGACAGGGCATCCTCCAGGCCAAAGATTGAGCGGCGACAAAGTTTGGAAGCTTCCAAGGCGGCTGCTTGGAACTCAAAGCTCTTGTGAGAAATGGTCCACGGTCCACCTTCTTGCACTTTCCGAACCCACCTTCCCAGTGACTTGAGCTCTTCGAGTGAGTAACGCTCGGCCCATGATTTCCGCAGTTTCTCAGGCCGAACAAAAAGCGCTGGCAAAAGATGCAGCCGCTGAATATTCAGTTCGCGGGTGGGCAAAAGCCCAATGAAAGATGCAGCTGTGTTCAATACCGCACATGGGGTGGCGTGATCTCCCCATGCCCTGCAGTCTCTGGAGGCCTCTCTCTCCCTCTCAGCTGATCCGATTATTGTCTCGGGGAATGCCCGGCACTGCTGAAGATTCCAAGGAGAAGACCCCCGACTCATTGGATGCGTGCTACCCGACTTGTTCACGTCCGGCCAGCATTCAGGGTTGACCCAAAGCACGACCCCGCAGGGGCTTCCCCACAATCCACCTGGTCACAAAGTGTTGGATGCTTGATCTCGGAAAAGTGCAAAATTGGGGGCCGCCCAAATGAATGGTAGACTTCCGTCCGCAGATTCCCATCTCCCCAGAAGCATCCCGCCAGGCGCCAAGCCGCGTTGTCTTGGCCATATCAAATTGCTCAATACCCAGAGAAAAAGGTGGCAAAGGCTATTCCCCGAATATTCCCCGAATATGATTCTCCTCAACCTTCGACCAGGGGACCTCAAATTCGCAAAGCTTGCAGCTTGCAGTGCCCATGAAAGCACGTCCGTCAAACACGGAGTACTGATGTGGCTGTGGGTCAAAAATAGGTACCCCAAATGGAACCCTGGCAAGTGGAAACATGGACCAACACCTGTGGTTCCATGGTGGTTCAATTTTGAGCCATACCCAAATAATTCTCAAAATGTGGTCAGCACTTCATGGCTCAAACTCAGTATCCCCAAGGCGCCTCTGGGTGACCCACGCTGCCCGCGTTGGGGGCAGGTGGCGCGGGCGGCTCGCGCATGCGCCGTGCCCGGTCTGGGAGGCAAGCCACCTGCGACAAGATTGAGACTTGGATCCACTCCTCTGGGCTCGCAGCCCCACGCGTGTCCTGTTGTGGGGTACGGGCCTGGTTGAACCGAAAGGTCTACAATGAGAAAACATGCACCTGTCAAAACGTGCAATAGTTCGCGAAAAAGACTCAGCGCATACAAGTGGATGTGAGCGGGCTGAAGAGTAGTTCCAGCCGCTACAAATCTGAGCGGATCAAAGAGCTGCGTGAGGTGACCCGCAAGTATGAAAGCTAGCTTTGCGCATGTGGTGAGCATGGTGGGCTGGGCACTTGATGCAGACAAGCCGATTGGCAGGATGCGGACATGTTTCAAGCCGGGCAATGGGAAAGTGGAGAGTTGGAACGCCAACGTTGAAGGCGCCGAAGCCTTCGGCCGGCGCCTGCGAATCGCAGCGCCAGGCGTGGAGCTATGCGACGGGACTGGCATCTCCCCGGCTGGCAGGCGCAAGCTGAAGTTCACCCACTGGAGCTCATCAAGACTATACTACTACCTGTTCATAAAGCTAATTGCTGTCTCTAGTTCTAGTCGACACAGCAGATTCTGGATGCCTCCCTTGAGTAGGGGGCATCTTGCGTCACCGCTCCACTTGCAACGGGCGGAAGGGCCTTGTGGCTACCCAGTTGCCCAGCTTCCTTGGAAGGGCCATCGGCCAACCCCGCGCATCTTTGCCGGACACGCCTTGCTCGGCTGGCGTGCGTCACTGATTGCCCAGGCCTTCCGCTCCCCAAGTCTTGGCGCAGGCTTCCCGGAGCACCAAGAGAGAATCTCACTGAGAGCAAAACCGAAAATTCGAAAAAGCGACCCGTCCACTGACACTCAAAGGAATGACTTTGCCTGATGATGGTGGGAAGCTCAGCCCCTAAAAGAAGCTAAAGCTTAGAGAACTCCCGCCACGCACAGCTAGCCTTCGTGAAAACAACTCATACCAAAGCAACGAACATGGCAACCGCAACCTGCAGAGTGGCTCTCCCTGCCTGCCAGCTGAGTGCTTGCTCCTCTAGGTCCGGGTCCCTTTGGCGAACGGGGCAGCTGTGGAAACGGGGCACTGCCGGAACGGGCGCGTCATCAATGAAGGTGAAGCGGTAGCGCAGGGCCATGGCCAGCGCTGGAACTTGAGCCACAAACGGCTCAAGCACGGCGAATGCCATGTGATGTGTGCAGAATCCAGAAAAAGTTTGATGGCCGCGTATCGCAGTTCAAGCCGGTCCAAGTTACAAACCATTCAGACATCACAGCTCAGTTGCTCAACATACAAGTTACCCCACAAGCCCTGCTCATGGCTTTGCATGGCTACTGGCGCATGACTCTTTATTGGTTGGCCCAAAAGGGCCAACATATCACGTTTGGCAAGCAGCCACCGTCCCGGGGGGGCGTCCGATCAAACACGGCAAAAGCCTTTGCACGGTAAGACGCGATTCTCCGTCGGGAAGGCGCGCTTTTCCACCACGCCACAGAGGTTGTTCCAACTCCCCAAGTTCACGGCATCTTGTGAATCCCATCCCTTCAGGCAGGACTCTTCGGGCCATATTTATTGGAAAACTTGTCCTTTTGGAGACGACCTTGTTTTGGCAAAGGCTTTCTTTCTATCCTGCGACACCATTCCATGGGCCAGAGACCTCACTTGGGGTTTTCGGAGGGAGGCACAAACATGAGGCGAGCTGGTTGCGCCTCGCGGTGTGCCGGCTGTGGCTCCAGAGCCGCCTCGGCGCGTCTTTTGTTACCCCGTTTGTTGGTGGTTGAAGGGAAGCCAAAAGGAAACCTTAGCTATTTGGGAGGGTCCAACCTTAGCTATTTGGCGCGGGGGGGGGGTCCAACCTTAGCTACTTGGGCTACTTGGGGGAGACCCACATGTCGGAACCCTTTGTCACCAAGTGACTGGAACCCGAAAAGAAAACTTATAGGACCAAATGTCTACAGCATCAAATGTAAATCATTAAAAAAAGGAGATCGATGTCTTGTATCTCCAAAGCCTGGAAAATGAACATTACCTATCGAAAACTCTTCATGTGGAGGTTGTGAAGCATCCATGGCCGCATCTGAAACAACCTCTTGTAGTGTCGAAACAGCAACTAGATCAACACAAACCAAACCAACCAAACCAACCCACCAAGCAAACGAAACTAAACCAAACCAAACCAACCAAACCAAACCAAACCAAACCAACCAACCAAAACAAAACCATCCAAAACAAACCAAACCAGCCAAACCAAAACAACCAACCAAACCAAACTAAACCAACCAAGCAAACCAAAGCAAGCCAACCAAACAAACAAAACCATTGCAACCAAACAATCCAAACCAAACCAAAAAAGCTAGACCAAACGAAAAACAAAATCGACCAAATTAAGTAAACTAAATTAATCGAAACCAAACGAAACCAAACCAAACCAAACCAAACCAGCAAAACCAAAGCGAATCAAGCAAACCAAGCTTACCAAACCAAACCAAGCCAAACCAAACCAAACCAAGCAAACCAACCCAAACCAGACGAAGCCAAGCAAACCAAACCAACCAAACCAGGCAAGCCAAAGCAAGCCAACCAAATCAACCAAACCAATTCAAACTCAAACCAAACCAATGAAACCAAACCAAACCAAGAAAAGCAAGCCACCAAACTAAACTAATGAAATCAAACAAACCAAACCAAACCAACCAAACCCAACCAAGCAAACCAAATAAACCAAACCAAACCAAGAAAGCCAAACCAAACCAAGCCAACTCAAACCAAACCAAACCAAGCCACCCAAACCAAACCAAACCAAGCAAACCAACCCAAACCAAACCAAACCAAGAAAGAAAACCAAACCAAACCACGCCAACCAAACCAAGCAAACGAAAGGAAACTCAAACCAATCCAATGGCAAACCAAACCAAGCAAAGCAAGCCAACCAAACCAACCAAACCAAACCAAGGGAACCAAATAAACCAAACCAAACCAAGGAAGCCAAACCAAACCAAGCAAACGAAACCAACTCAAAGCACGTGCAAACTTTGCAGCGTGTTGGCGCCCGCACCTCCTCAAGCCACGCCAGCAGCGTCTTCACTGGGCCGAAACCTGGCTTTCACGCACGTGCCGCCGCGTGACTGACACGCAGCGTCTTCGTTGAGGGTACCCCTTTTGGTTTTTGAAGGGAAACCCACAAAGGAAGACCGCCATTTATTTATTTTTTTGGGGGTGTCCCCCCAAAAAGAAGGACAAACCCAATTTCCCCTGGTGGAACTGTGACCTTTTGCTTTCACCTGTCATTGAGAGTCTGCTTTTTGTTGGACCCCCCGGTTTGTGTTGGCCTACGTCCCAGCTATTCAGCGTGCCCCTTGAAAAAACCAGTAGAAACCGTCCGGGATGCCCGGAAGCTGCCCAAAGCTCAGCGTGACATGATCGCATCAATGTTTTCACTGTCGTGAAAAATGCATCAGGGAATCAGGCAGAACATTTGTTCAGGTAAGGTCTATCAAGAATTCCTTGACCGATTTTCAGGATGCTTCACCTATTCAAAGCCTTAAGCTCGGTAGATCTCAGCAAGCACACTGCTTGATGTGAGGCCAAAGCTGATTGGGGTTCACTCCAAACACAAAACTTGCCAACAAGCCCCACAGAAGCCAACATCCCAAGGCCTTGTGTGCTCCTTGCCATCTCCGTCTCTAACTCGGAATCGCTGTCGGACTCCACGTTGGACACTGAGCGCTGGAGAGTCGCACTTGAGATTTCGCTCCTAAGGAATGTTGAAAAGGGACTAAAACGTTCGCCCACACGTCCTGTTCCAGCCAGTGGCGAGTTGTCGCGTCCAAGATGGCACTTCAGGCTGCGAGCTCCAACAGAATCGGCATGAGACATGAAACTGGTCAGTCTTTTGAACCGTGTGAGTCCCTACAAGCTTGGCATCTCATCGTCCGTACCCAGCTCGACCGCAGCCTGCAATGTGTGGGAAGGGGGTCAACAAAAGCATGGCCCCCAACAACCAGAAACAGGCTTCGCCCAAGACCAAAAAAAGACATCTGACGCAGGAATTCACCGGTACTTTTTCAGCGAGCGCAACGCAACCCCAACCGCAAACCCCTGCAACCTGGGGTCCCCGCCAGGACGAGTGCCTGGAAGCTTCGCCACAGCTGCCGGGGGGGGGGGGGCTGCCGAACCCCCAAGTGGACAAAGCCCAAAACACCATGGCCCTAAAGCTTGTTTGTTTGTCTGCTTGCTTGCTTGCTTGCTTGCCTGCCTGCCTGCCTGCCTGCCTGCTTGCTTGCTTGCTTGCCTGCCTGCTTGCTTGTTGCTGTTCTTGGCATGTTTTTCAACTTGTGTGGTTCTGCTAAAGAATTAGTGTGGCCTGCAAGCACAAAAGAAAGCACGGCCCTTGCCGAGCCGGTTGCTTTCATACCTCTGGGTTTGGCCTTCAACGGTTTCAGGCGTGTTTGAGTCATGATGATGTGTGAGGCCTATTCACCCACGTTTGTCGTGGTATTCAGGCCGGGAGTTTTGCTGTTCTCGATCTCCAGCGGCTCTCAAGGCGGTTTGAGGCGTTTGGGGCAACTTTGATGCTGATTTTTTTTCGCATGGTGCTATCCTATTTGCAACTTGCTCCCGGCTCCCTCGTGCAAGGTACACCGTAACACGACAGGCGCGAAAGACCGTCCTCCTCCTTTCGCCCGCAGTGTATGTTTCTATCGATACATAAGAATCTGTGTGTATATATATGTATACATAACCGACCCTAAATCAATCCTAAACAATTTACCTAAACCAACCCTAAATCAAACCCAAAACACGCCAAACCAACGCGGGGATCGTAGTGTCTAAATCAAAGCCCTCGTAGTGTCTGAATCCGGGATCGGCAGTTTCTGGACCTTAGTTTCTGAGCCGTAGCTTCTGAATGCGCCGTATTTTCTGAATCCGGTTTTGATGTGTATAGACGTGCCAAACCTATTTGATGTGAGAGCTGAGGAGTATGTTACTCAAGGCCAATAGCCGGAGAGCATGGAGCAAAATTGGGGGTCGGGCCGTCGGCCGCGGATCGGCGGCAAGCCGGCCGGAGGCCCGATCCAAAAAAGAACATGGTGCAAGCCATCAGCCGCTTATTCCTAGGTAAGCTTTTGGACTCTCACAGGAGAACCGAGCTGCAACCAGAAGCCATCGGGGGTCGGACCCTTTCTCCTGCAACAGGGGAGGCTGGCAACCTCCAAAAAACCATCACAAACAAAAGGCGCCGCATTGGTTGGAGATCTCCTTCTTGCCGTGGCCTGACGGAATGGGTGCCATGGAGCCTGGTGGCAAGCCACCCCCAGGCTGCCGCGCCTAGGCTGCCCACCAAGACCCCGAAGACGGAGCCCAGGGATTGCAGCTGGCACCTGGCAACTGTTTGAGCTAGACCAGCTCGAAGCTTCTCGACATCGCTTGACCCCCCCCACCCACCCACCCAGAAAAATGGAAAACAAGATAAACCAAACAAATGTTTGGTGTCTTTTTGTTTTCCTGCTTGAAATGCCAAGCTAGAGAGAAAGATCGACCATTCTGAGAAACACTCAAATTGGGAGCTTGGGCTTTGCTTCTCCGGCACCACTTTGATGGGCTCCGAGGCCCTTTGCACTCATGCCTGCACGTGGTGACCCACTCTGAAACAATTGGACAAGCAGTTTGCCCTTCGGTCGTCTGGACAAATGGATGGTTTCCTTTCGGCTTGCAACATCACTTCGCCCATGGCTCCACAGAGCCAGGAGCGAACACTGTCGCATGGAAGAGACGGACTGCATTGCGAAGGATCTCTCCAAACATGAGGAAGCGATGCAGTCGTTAGGAGTGGTATTGAAACCATCCACTCCTTCCGAGAAAAAAAACGTAGCCTGGTTTCGCAGTCTGTGGCATGCTTAGGAAATGTTTCAAGAACCGTGGCATGGGCGTCGCACAGCGTCGCTGCACTCCATGGGAGGCAACTCAAATGAGCTGATGCCCATTTGAACTTTCGCGTGGCCTTCGTACAGGGATCCTTGCATGAAAAACACCGATCGAACATTGCAGCTTGTAAATGGTGGTGTCCAACTTCATTTTGGTGTTGAAAAAGCAACATGTTTCAAATGGTTGCAAAGTGTATCTGTTAAGGAGCCCTGTAAAATGAAACCAATTTCGTAGACCCCGCGAGT